TAAGCACCAAAAGGTCGGCAGTTCAAACCCACCAGTTACTTCTTGGAAACACTATACAGGGCCACTATGAGTCGCAACCCCCTCGATGGCACATAACAACTACAGACACAAAGTGTCTGACCAAAAAGTTACCAAAAATGTATATTTTACAGTCTATGGCCTGTTACTAGCCTCAAACTTCTTCCCACTTCAGAGCTTGGATTGAACTATTCCCTCCACGTGAGATGCCCTTTTCCCTTCTCTCCCTTCTGCATCTAACTCTTGCTCAAACTTGACCTTTTTTCAGTAGCAGGGGCTAACAATTGTGATTAAATGCCACTGCCTATCATGCTCTGGAGTCCTGGTATGGCACTGTGGGTTAATAGGTCAGACTGCAAAGTCGTTTGAACTGCAAGGTCAGTGGTTCAAGCTCACCGGTTGCTCCTTGGAAACCCTATACAGGGTCACTATGGGTCAGAAACGACTCAACAGCACTTCACAACAAGAACAACATCACACTCTGGTGTGGCGCTGTTGGTTAACGAGCTGGACAGCAAAGTCCTCTTGAACCGGGGGAGGCCTGCGGTTCAATCTCACCAACTGCTCCTCGGAAACCCTATATAGGGTCGCTATGGATCAGCACACGACTCAACGACACTTAATAACAACAACAATAAATCACACTCTACAGAGCAGGGTTGTATCCATCTTGTTTAGAGGTTGTTCTCTGGACTGAGCACAGTAACAAAAAGTATTCAGTAAATGTGTGGAGAATGACCAATCAAGATTTAAGGCAACATCAGCTTTCAGAGAAAGGCCTGCTTCATTTTGAACAAAATGTCTTTGCAATCACAAAGAAATCAACTGGTCTTGCAAGTACGTGGTATTAGGGGGTGAATTGAAAGCATCTTAGAATTTCTCTCCCTTCTGAGGTTTCAGGATAACCCACATCAGGGCCATGAGTTCTTCTGGAAGCAGAGAACTTAACTCTGTGATCTCACAGCATCTCTACTCATACATATTTATTACACATATGTACTTTTTCTGAACCCGACCAGAGTAAATTGGAGACACAATTTCTCTTTATGGCTGCAAGACAACGTGATACTGTCAACTCCAAAGAGCAGACTTCTGGTAAGGAAGAAAAGCAGTAGGTGAGGAAAATCCAGTTAGATAAACTCTAACCAACTCTATATACTATCCAGTATTTATCTAGCCTTTCCCCGGGGAACCTCTTGTCTCACTGGAGTCTTTAATCTGTGGCTGAATGGAAACTATCCAGTCACAGATTATGTAATATGACCAGCGGTCCAAAGGCCCAAGGTCATTTTCGGCTCTCTCAGAAGGAAAGGACATTTTATCACAGAACAGATGTTAGTATCTTTATGGACCCACTTATTGTAGTTTACCATCAAATGTTTCTTGAGTTGATGTTTGTGGCAATTCTTACTCCTTCAACATGCTCTCCCATCCCTGAATATTTTTCCAGCTATGGTAACACATAGCAAAGCACCACAGATGCAAATTCAAGATACTGGGAGTATGAAGCTAAACCAATGCACTGCCAAATTAAACAAGCAGAAAACTACAGATACTCATCAAAAACAGAGAGAAAATTAATTTGGGGAGTAGAATTGGGAGAACCAAAGCAATTTTTTTTAGAATAGAAATTTAAAAGAGCATATTGGGAGGAACCTGCAAATGAGATCTTCAATGACAGAAGCAACAACGTAAGCCAAAGAACATAGGAATACACTGTTATTAATAAGGTTAGCATAAATTTTGACTGCTATAAAGTAACTTGCTGTGATACTGAGAGTATTTTCTGCACCTGCACATTCCACAGAACAGTGCTTCTCAAACTGCAGTCTTTGCACTAGCAGCATTAGAATCACATGGGAACTCGTACGAAATGCAAATTCTTAGGTTACATCATAGATCTGCTAAATTAGGAGCTCTAGAAGTGGAGCCCAGCAAACTGGGTTTTAACAGAACCTCTAGATGATTCTGATGCTTGCTAACATTTGACAAGCTCTGACACAGAGAGAAAGGAGTACTGGTGGTACTGTGGGGTTAGCATTGGGCTGCTCACTACAAGGTTGGCAGTTCAAATGTACCAGCCACAGACTGTAAATATTTAGTCTCAGAAATCCTATACAGTGTCAATATGAGTCAGAATCGACTCAATGGCAGTGGAATGGATGGACAGAGTAAAAAAAATACTGGTGGCTCAGTGAGATAAGCGTTGTGCTGGTAACCATAAGGTCAGTAGTTCAAAGCCACTAGTCACTCCTAGGGAGAAAGATGAGGTTGTCTGCTCTCATGAAGATTTACGTGAAACCCGATATAGGGTCACTATGAATTGGAATCAACTTGATGACAAAGACTGGTGGTGTGGGCAATATAGAGGAAAGAGGGCCTTAGTGGTGCAGTGGTTAAGCACTCACTGCTAACTGAAAGGTTGGAGGTTGGAACCCATCAGCTGCTCTACAGGAGAAAGATGTGGCATTGTCCTTCTACAAAGCAAGGCAGAGGCACACAAGCTGACAGATTAGTGATGTTGACATCTTATAAATGCTGTCTCCCTATCATGAGCATGGTGTACTCTTCCATTTGTAGGTCTCTTTGGGTTTCTTTTAGTTGTGTCGTGTAGATTTCTTTGTATAAGTCTTTTATATTTCTGGATAGATTTATGCCTAAATTTTTTATCTTTCCACCACTCATCTGTGAGTTTGTTGTACTCTGGTGGCTTGTGTGTTGCTGTGATGCTGGAAGCTAAGGCACCAGTATCACAGTCTTTCATGGGGGACAGGTTTCAGAGACTCCACAGCACATCATCATTACCACCAAGTCCAATGGCTTGTCTCAAGGTTGCACAAAGCAGGGTTAGCAATATTTTAGATAGAGACAATAGTTAAACGTAGTAAGTATTTTAGACATTGAGAGTCATATACTCTCTATCACAACTATTCACCATTGCATTGTGGTGTGAAAGGAATTGCACTGTTGTTGCTAGTTGCCATGGAGTCGATTCTGCATGGTGACCCTCTAGGTGCAGAGGAGAACTGCTCCATAGGGTTTTTAAGCCTGTGAGCTTTCTGAAGCAGTTTGCCAGGCTTGTCTTCCAAGGGACTTCTGACTAGGCTCCAGCCACTAACCTTTCAGCTACAAGTCAAGTGCTTAACTGTTTGTGCCACCCCAAGACTCCCGAAAGCAGCTTTAGACAGTACATAAATGAATGAGTGTGGCTGTATTCCAATAAAGTTTTCTTTACAAAAATAGGCAGGGGGGCAGATTTGGCTCCTGGGCCCTAGTTTGCTGACCCCTGACAAAGAGAATTGGCCATCAGGGAGCCTTCTTATCCAGTCTTTGACTCTTATCACTACAGTCAATCTCTTCTTTAATCTGCCTCATTATAAAAAAATACACAAGCGACTTGGCAGAGATATAATTAAAGTTTCCCTGTCTGGAACCAAAAACACAAGCCTATCCAGGCAGCTGTAGGCAGCCCAGAGATATTTATCTTATACAGCTGACTTGATTATCTTGTTTGATGCTTTTATCAGCATCTCAGCCAATGAACCGCTCAGCATACATATACACTTACATAACTGCGGGGGGAAATTTCTCAACATGTCCTTTCAAGCAATAGAGCAATGGGACATGCTACATAGGAATTTCCCTCCATTGGAATATCCTTCCAACACAGCCCACTCTCAACCCCCTCCAATGCCCAAGGCAAGTTTGGTCTAAAAAACCAGTTCTTACTTATCTCTTCTATGCACAAGAAAACCGAAAACTAATAAATTAACAGGGAAATGGTATAAAAATCCTACAGTTATTTCACATGTAGGAAAGAGAGAAATTGAGCTCGTTTATAATAGAAGGTCAAACTTAGCCTGTTGTTCTCGAGAGAAACAAACTTCGTCCATTCATTCTTTCAACAGGTCTTTCTTGAGCACTTTCTATGTGCTAAGTACTGTGCTAGACTCAAGGAGCCCTGGTGGTACTGTAGGATACGCACTGGACCGCTACCCCCAAGGTTGGCAGTTCAAATCCACCAGCTGCTCCTCAGGAGAAAGATGCGGCTTTCTCTCTCAGAAAGATTTACAGCCTTAGAAATCCTATACAGAGTTGCTGAGTCAGAATTGATTTGATGACTATGGGTGGGTACTAGGCTCAAGAGCCCTGATGGCAAGGTGAGTTAAGTGTTGGGCTGCTAACCACATAGTTGGTGGTTTGAACCCACCAGCCAGTTTGTGAGAGAAAGATGAGGCTGTCTACTCCTGTAAGGTTTAGAGTTTCCTTGGAAACCGTAGGATCCTATAGGATCACTATAAGTCGGAATTGACTTATCGGCAGTGGGTTGGGTTGGGTTTGGTACTAGACTCAGAGTCCCTGAGTGGCACATCCAGTTAAGTGCTCAGCTACTAACCAAAAGGTTGATGGTATGAATCCACCCAGAGGCACTCAGAAGAAAGACCTGACAATCAACTTCCTAAAGATTATAGCCATTGAAAATCCTATGGAGCACAATTGTATCCTGATATACCTGGGGTCCCCATGAGCCAGAATGACTCCAGGGTAACTGGTTTGCTTTTGCTTTTGGTACTATTCTAAGGGGATACAATATTGAGCAAAGCAAACATTGTCCTCACCCTTATATGATGAAGAAAGATGAGGCTTTCTGCTCCTGTAAAGATTTACTGCCTCAGAAAACCTATACAGGTTTTCTGAGTCAGAACCAACTCAGTGGCCCACAACGACCACCCTCAGACAAGGGGGCTTCAAAAAGTTCACAGAAAAATTCCATTTTGCCACCAACTTTTTGAAGCCCCTTATATAGCTCATATTCCACATGATGAGTAATCTATTAATTGTATGATTTCAAAATCTTAAATACAAACTGGAAAACAACAACAACACACTAATGGGAAAGAATGCACAACTATGGAACCTGCTTTACTGTGGAGGTGACAGAAGGCTTTCCTGAGAACTGAAGCTGAAGTAAGTTAGGAAGGATGGCAGGTGAGAGTCCCCTGGAGTGTGGGGGCAGTGAGAGGCATAGGGGGAACCAAAGGCCAGGGGAGCCAGGGGAAGGGAGGGGCTAGAGAATCACACAGGGCTAGATCTGGCAGTCTTGAAGATGTCTTAAGGGATCTGGTTTTTATTCTAAGAGCAGTGGGAAACCAGGTGTCCTGGTGTGACATTGAGGGATAATGCACTGAACCACAAGGTCAGTTTTAACCTCAAGATCAGGGGTTCAAATTCACCAGCCACTCCTCAGAAATCCTATATAGGGTCACTATGAGTGGGAACCAACTCAATGACACTTAACAACAACAGCGGGAAGCCAAGGAGAGTGAAGTTATCAAATTTGCATTTTGAAAGATTCTGTAGGCTGCCTTGGGGATAGCAGATGAAAGGCTGACAGGCACTTACATATACAGGTAAATCAATATCAGACAAGAGAGCTGCAAGACTTGGACTAGGATAGAGCAGAGGAGAAAGAGAAGAATGTCTTTGAGAGATACCAAGAACTTGGAGGTTGATGAGAAAGGGAGGGTGCAGGAATGAGTTATCACTGGTGGCTCCAGGTGTCTAGTTTTGCTGGATGACTGGCATTTTAAGGTGTCTAGAATGTGGGTGTTACTCGCTATAAAGATCTTCCACATGTTTGGAATCTGGATTTTGTCCCAATGAGCCCCTAGCATAAGTTTTATCCTGGATATAAGATTAGTAACTATAGTCCAAGTATTCCCTGGAGAAAGCCTCTTAACAGGCTTGACATTTTTTCATCTCCCCCTTTTATCTACACTTTTGCAGGGGGCATTACATGTTCTACACCCACATCTGTTGAACATGCAGACATCCGGGTCAAGAGCTACAGTCTGAGTTCCAGGGAGCGGTATATATGCAACTCTGGCTTTAAGCGTAAAGCTGGCACTTCCAGCCTGACCGAATGTGTGCTTAACAAGAACACCAACACTGCCCAATGGACAACTCCCAATCTCAAGTGCATCAGTAAGTAGCCAACTCTGCACCCTACCTGGCCATTCCAGAGAGGCACTGATGCGTGAAACCATGCATGAAAGAGTCAATCTGATTTCAAGGGCCAATGAGAGCTCTGTACTGAGGTCTGAGGGTAAATAAACAGTGGGACTCTGAACAACACCTTCTTGGGCTGAAAATTAAACCAAATTTTGGGTTATACAATTCTGGGTTCAAATTACAGCTGGCCATGTACTATCTATGAGGCCTTGGACAAGGGCGCTAACATTTTGAACTTCTGGTTCCTCATCTGGAAGATGAACCTGATGTCAACCTTGTAGGTTACAGAAGGATTAAGAGAAACCTGGTCAATAGTAACTAGTATTGCCAGTGCTGTGTTTCAAGGTTATGGTAGCAAGAATTTGACTACAGAAAAGGGTGTGTGCTCATGAGCATGCTTACTTCCCAAAGAAACAGACTGCAGGAAAGCCATTGCTGTTCTTCTCCATTGTTAACCAGCCCAGGAGACTAGGGTAGAACCATGGAGCAGAGATTACCTTCATTTAGTTACCTATGAACGGTGAGTATCCAACCAGCACTCAAGATTAACTATGGGGACTAAGACTCAAGGGGAATACAGGAGCAGGCATGTGGTCTGGCTGGTGACCATGTTGGTCACCGATAAGGGGAAGAGGGTGAAAATACAGCAATGAAGTTGGGATCTAAGTCCAACCACATTCAATAGACTCCTGTGAATGCGGGTGGAGACCTGGATGGCCAGCAGTTACAGCAAGACCCGGGGACTCCTGGGCCCAGAGGCAGTGACATGGCCATAGAGGACTAGAGCGGAGAATGAAGCGTCCAGCTGATGTTAAGCGAGGGGAGATGCACAAGAACACCCATACTTGAAGATAGTACCCACTTGACCTGGCTTCAATGGCTGGATGATCAGAACTTGACTAGAAGAAGAAAGAAGAGGGAAGGAAAAAAAAAAAAAGAGTAACCCAATTCGATCTGATGAACTTTACTTATATGTATGGATGTAGTAGCTCAAAAAAGGAAACAGATCTTTACAGCAAGGATCACTCCCACCCCCTCACTACACAGAGTTGACAGGGAGACATTGGCTACCCAAAATGGGGCTGGGAGGGGCTATAAAGGCAAGAAGTAACTGGCTTATAAGATTTCAAGAGGGAGCCTAGTTACAGATGGGGCAGGAGTAGGTAGAACCTCAACTGAATGATTTCCAATCTGTTGTGACCAGGCTGGCGAAAGGAAATGGGATAAGACTCTTGTGGTATAATAGTGAATAATTGCCATCACAACTGACTGTGAGGGTCAGAAATGTAGAGGTAGATGTTTTTTGACAAAAGGAGGGGAGTGATTGATTTTGCAGCCCAGGAGCGGAGGTCCCTGGGACCATCAAGTTAAAAGAGCAGAGAGTGTGATCCTACCCAGAGAGGCAGTGATGCCAGGCATGGAGACAAAGATGATGACATGGACAGATGGAGTGGCTGGGTACATGGGACTCAGGGAGGGAGAGGGGCTGTGTGCTGACAGCCAGGGGTGCGGCCTGTGGGGTGTATCCTTTGGTTATTTGATGATGCATGTAGGGGATTGTAATCATTGCAATGAAACAAAATACCATAGGATGAATGTAAAACTGATGTTCTCCCATGTAAACCCACATTGTTGTTGTTGTTAAGTACCTTGGAGTTGGTTCCGACTCATAGCAACCTTGTACAGGGTTTCCGAGGCTGTAAATCTTTATGGGAGCAGAACGCCTCATCTTTCTTCCGCGGAACCGCTGGTAGTTTCGAACTGCTGACCTTGAGGTTGGAAGCCCGACTTGTAACCACTATGTTACCAGAGCTCCTTCTAAACCCACATAATTCACAATAAAAACTTTTTTTAAAAAAGTATGGGTAAGTCAAGTCACGAGACTCGACTTTTTAAAAGCCACTCCCAGCTGGATAACCCTCCCAGAAGTCAAACAATGTTGGTGTGGAAGCCACTTAGAACTATTTCTAGAATACTAAGCCCCATTTCTTACTCTCCCTCTTCCTTATTCTTGAAAAATAAAGATCAGCCTGTGGTCTTACAATAGAATTTTGATTAAACCAACATTTATTGAGTACTAAGTGGATTAATGTGCCAGACTGCAAAGCCGTTTGAACTGCAAGGTTGGCGGTTCCAGCTCACCAATGTCTCCTTGGGAACCCTATACAGGGTCGCTATCGGTCGGCACCAACTCAACAGCACTGAACAACAACAACAAAGTACTGGATACTTTCTCATATAACATTTATGAATATGCTCAACTCCTCTCTGAGGGGATTGGGGACAAAGAGATTGTCCTAAAGCAACTTCATTCTGCTGGGGGACTCATTAAGCACCAGATTTTCCAGCTGAACTTGTAGTGCTTAGGTTACTCTTATGTCCATTCGTCCTCCTGCTGCTGCAGTTATACAAGCATCAAAGAAAAAGCCAGAGATTTTTTTGTTGCAGAGATTCCAAGGTCGAATTGGAGTGTTATCCTGGGCAAGGAAGAGCACAAGCAGTAACACTGTAGTAGAACAGGGAGTGGCGTTTACTCTGTCCAGTTGTGGAACTCACTGGAGCTTATGATACAAGGCAAAAATAAGGTGGTTTTTTTCTGCTGTAGGGAAAGTCCAGAAACAGTCATGTAACACGTAAAATCCATTTGGTCAATGTCCAACTTCATCCAACTCTGATACAGACTATTATATTAAAAACTCATGGTTCGTAATAACAAATCGGCACACTCTGTAAAGAACATTTATTATTACTATATTATTATGTTAAAGATATGTTCATGTATCTGGAAGTTTTTCCTTAATGTTTCTATGCATAAAAAAGTATATTACACAATATATAGTAAGACAAAGACTTGACTGTTGTTGTTACGTGCCCTCAAGTTGGTTCCATCTCATAGTAACCCTGTATAGAGTTTCCAAGGAGCAGCTGGTGGGTTTGAACCACTACGTTGCAGTTCAAATAGACCTTGTGATCTAGTGCTTATCCTACAGTGCCACACCAGGACTCCTAAACATGGACTAACTGATGCTAAGTAAGTGCCTTACTCCTCCATTTTACATACAAATTCAACTTAAAGATAGATGTAGGAATGGAACTCATTCGTAATCCAGGGAGAGCCTGTATATAATATGGTGTTCGTACAATATCCAGATCACATAGCATCCTATTTCACAGAGCATATTGTGGATGTTAAGCAACACATGATTGTATCTCCTCAAGGCTCCAAGTCCTGAGGATGGAAAAGAATTGTAGGCTTTGAAGGAGACAGGGGGAAAGTAGAAAAGAAGAGGAGATACGTGGAATCAAAGAATTTTAAAACCCAGTAAGTAGAAACGTTTTTAGGTATCATTTGGCTCAAAGATTCCCAACCTTTTTACCACTTCATTGTTTTTTCCCCAAGTTTTTGTGCTTTGAATGATATTTGTTCTGCTAAACATCTATTGAGTAATGCTTTATCCTTCCGTGGAAAACCCAGTATTATAAAGCTGAGTTGTTGTCAATCCAACCAAAAATAAGAGAAATTTTGATACCTAACTTACGTTATCTTTTTAAAGGAGCCCTGGTGGCACAAAGCTTGGCTGCCAACCAAAAGGTTGGTGGTTTGAACCCAAGAGCTGCTCTATGGGAGAAAAAACTGTGACATTCTGCATCTGTAAAGATTTACAGTTTTGGAAACCCTCCAGAGCAGTTCCTTTCTGTCCTCTAGGGTCACTGTGAGTTGGAATCAACATGACAGCTGCAGGTTTGTTTTGTTTTGGTCTATTTTAAATGCTAGAAAAATAGTTTGCAGTTTGTCTTTGCATTTGTGTGGGAATTGCAGATTGGCAAATACGGGTTGATTCTTGCTTATTTCTTGTGCTTTTCATTTATCCTAGGAAGCCAGATACCTATATTTTAAATTCATTTACTAACTCAGTTCTGAAACCATCCCATGTTTCAACCTCAGGATCATAAAATGCATGTGGTTATCCTCTCTCTAGGAGATCCCTCCCTGGCTCTACAAATGCCTGTGTCACCCTCCACAATGGCACCAGCAAGAGTGACCCCACAGCCAGAGACTCTCGCGCCTTCTAGAAAAGGTAAGAATGTTGGGCATTTCTTAAGGACTTCTACCCTCTACTTCTACAAATCTCTCAAATGTGTAGACCACTGCAAGCATTCTGCTGTAAACAAAACAGAACAAAACATTAGAGCGAATCTTTTATTAAAGTATAAGAATTTACACTGGTTTACCTCTTGTAAATCAAGTTTGCTTGATATCCAAGTTTCACAAGTGCTTAATTTATTCTGTTTTAAAATCTATTACTATGTCAAATTTGATTTAGTTGTCAAGAACCATTAAGGGTCTGATATAGTATATCTCTCTTGCATGTCAGCCTGCCACAATTTCATGAATGCTGGCAGAAGACATGATTCTCCCAGATCAGAGACAAAGGACTTTATTATACAGCAATTCAAACAGAATGAGCACCTGTATATTTGCATCCATTTCCCTCATCCCCAGGTTCCACCTGGGCAGTGTGGATGGCCCCAAACGCCTGCACACTCAGTGGGCTGCATTATTGAAGAGGACTTCTAAGCTTACAGAGTCTGAAACTTTTCTAATTAGCAGTAAACCAGTATCTACTCTTTGCGTCACAGATAAGCCCTATGCTCTTTCAAAGCACTTGCTATATAGATATCCTTGAAAAGACAGTCCCGAGAAAGGAAGTCAGTGCCTCTATTCACTACACATCTAGAAATATGAGAGACCATGGAGAATTATTTCTCAATAATACTAAGCATCAGTAAATTGACTATAATTACTCTAGTGTAGAAGCATTGTGTGAAGATACCAATGTTCTCTATTTCAACTGAGCCTTTGGTTATCATCTATGCCGTTTTCCTCAGCACTATCAACTCAATAGCACTTAACAACAAAAACGGTCCCAATGTTAATTCTAAATCTTGGATGCCAAGTATCTTAGAGTGATCTGCGGTGTATCCTATGATAACCTTACTTTGCATTTAAATTCTGGATTTTTAGTAACATATTATCTAGTGTGTCTCTTATTCTAGCCATTGTCCCCTCTCTTCCCACTGGGGATGGTTGTCTCTGCATGGCTCATTCACACCTTCCCCGGAGCAGTGGTTCTCAACCTTGGATGCACAGTGAGCTCACCTTGGAACTCTAATTGGTGTGGCAAGCAATCTGGGTGTTTTTTTAAAACTCTTCAGGTGATTGTTAGGTAACCAACACTGAGAACCACTGCTTGAGGAAAGACAGAGAAGCTAAAGAGAGGTTTCTCCTAGTTAGTTGGCTGCCAACAGAAAGAGAAAAAGGTTGAGCTAGATTTAACTTTGAGGTCATTCCAAAATTTCTTTGCTCCGAGTCCCACCTGGTTCACCCAATTGTTGAGACTGAACAAACAGCCTCTTACAGCCTGTGTTCATGTCTAACATACTTAGTCAGAAATGTCTATCGCTGAGACAGAACTGCAGCCCAACTCTCTCAGATGTGAGTGTCATCTTTGGCACAGTGTGACCTGACCATCATACTTGGGCTGCAAATACCCTGGAGTGCTGGTAGGAAACAGCACATGGAGATGGTGACAAAGGAGTAAAGGCTAGGATTTCTCACAGTGTGGATGTGACCCAAAACAGTGTGACCAGAAAGGTAAAATGTGCTCCATCCCAGCGATCCTTTGCTCAATTTTCTGCTTTGTGGTACATTTTATAAGGACTGGATTCATCACACTAGAAGACCCATTTTTCATGGGGGGAGGGGGAAAATAGCAAACAGTTATACCAAGACTTACAGGTTAGCGGTGGCCAATCTGACAAGAAAGATCTATACCTAAGCATGAGGCAGAGCTCCCTGCCTTGGAGTGGAGCAAGATGAAAATAATTTCCTCAAATACATCCTCTAAAGTTCCAGATAGGCTTCCACTCACTCACAATTTTTTGTGCAAAGATATGAAAAAATAAAATGAGTATTTTTTTACAAAGGGCTTTAAAAAGTTACTGAGAAAAATTGCATTATCTTTTTAAACATCACTTAATTATTTTTTAATTCTACTTTTCATAAACTTTTTGAAGCTCCCTCCTATGTTGTGCATTTAAGGGATTTTCCCAAAGAATTTTGCCTGGGGGAGGGCTGGCCCAGGACTAGATTCACTAGAGCAGGCCTTTAAGTACACGCTCTTCTAGAGACTGTCTTCAGAATATTTATGTTCCCTGTGTTTTGAAATTCCCTACAGAGCCAGAAGCTTCTACCCCCAAGTCAGATACCACACTGACCACAGAGACAGCTATTGTACCGGGCTCCAGGCTGATACCATCAGAATCACCTTCTACAGAAACCACAGGGGTAGTCAGGAATGAGTCTTCCCCAACCCCATCTCAGACAGCAACAAAGACTTTGGAACAAGCTCTCTCTGCTTTCCACATGACACCAGGTTAGCACTAAATTTGCATGCTTTAGGAGAGGCCAGTCCCCACTGGATGGAGAGCTAGACCAAGACAACTGTGTAGGGTTATGTCATTCAATTCAAAGTCATGACTGACTGAGCTACCCTTTTGCTTTCTGCTGTCTGCTGTGGCCTTCTTGCTCTGACCTCTATTCTCTGTATTCTTCCATGCCTTGGTCTAGCTGGAACATCTGGAAAATCTCTTCCTCTCCCTGATGTGTTAAGGCTAACCTTATTAACCTGTATGGGCAGAGTCTATGCTAAGAATCTGAACAATGCCTGCATCCTCAAAACAGGGATGGAGACAGCTTCCCACAGTCTGAAGGCATGACCTAGGGATGGAGGAGCACTCAGTAATCTGCATTGTTGGTAACAGTTTATCTGATTCTAAATTCGGTTCAGCGTGTAAATGACCCTGTTTGTTCTTGGCTAAAAACAAGTTTGGTTATGCCAGCTGTGTATCTCCCAGTGTTTTAAGGTGGGAGTCAAATTGAGTAGACATCTCCTGTTTAATGGGAGGTTAATGCTTTGGGGACCTTGACCATGATTGAGCTGTAATCTCTTTTCTGCAGATGCTTCTTCAGCCAATTCCACAGCTGTTGCTGTAGAGTCCACAGTTGTCACTGGTAAGTTGTTTTAATTTGTCTGGTAGTGTTTATTATGGTCAGGTTGGCCACAGTCCTAGTTTACAGACCAGTCCTGGTTTATGAATGCTGTCCCATCATGACCATTAATAGCATTCCTTTTCGCTTTTTTAAAGCATCTCAGTTTAGCTAATGAATTACAGAGTCACTTTATTTATTATTTGTTACTTAGCATGATTATTTATCTTAACATGGATAGTTTCTAACTATCAGGCTACTGATGTTGAAACCAGAGAATTGATAACCCACAGAAATGCCTCATTGCTTAGCTCTTCTCTGGTTCTCCTAAGCAGTGCTAGACTTTTCTCCAGAACTTGCTGGAAAAGCTTGAGAGCGTGCTGCCACGATTATAGTTATAATTATGTTGTTCTTCTGCCATAAATGGAGCCAATCTCTCCCCAGCTATTGGGACCATGGACTTTACAGTGAAGCTGTTCAAGTTTCTCAGTGTTGAAAAGTTTATTTTTACAGTAGACACACACAACACTAAGTCTAGGAGAGAAAGAAACATTGTCATAAGGGGGAAGATGGAAATGGGTTTGCAAAAATGAAAGAAAAAGATGACATAAGAGAAGAGCTCAGAGAAAAGAGAATAGGAGAAAGATCAAGGGAAAAAGAAGTAGGAAGCTAACTGTGTATACAGGGAAAGAATCTAATACTTTATTTTTATAAGCTTTATAAAAAAACAAAAATTACTTGGGCTACTATTTGATATGGAGAAAAAAATCTCAGTTATCTATTCACAAGTTTTTTCTGCTATTTTTTTTTTTTTTTTTGTGGCCACATTTTATCTCCATCAAGTGTCATCTGGAAAAATACCAAGTGACTGGTCATTTTAGCAGTTAGTTGGTTAAGGTTGTTGTTGTTGCGTTAGTGCCATCAAGTCGGTTCCGACTCATAGCAACTCTGTATAGTGTTTCTAAGGGAGTGGCTGGTGAGTTTGAACTGCCAATCTTGTGGTTCAAATGACCTTGTGGTCCAGTGCTTATCCGACAGTGCTACAACAGGACTTCTGGTTAGGGGAGACTGGTTTAAAAAATCATCAAGACATAGGCAAATTCAAGACATTTTAGAAAGGCACTTTTGGGATTCTTTTCATGGAAGAAAGGTGGGATTTAATCACAATGACATCGAAAAAAATATGTTCATACTTTAAGAGGAGAATAGTAAGTAAAACAGCCAACTGAATTTTTTTTCCTTGTCACATAGTACATTAATCTTTTGACATAGTTTTCAAGTTTTGCTTTACAAATGGATGGACTGTTCAAAGTCAGTACCATCTCTGACTCAAAATTCCCTTACAAGAAGGAAGGCAATTTCTATAATCACCAGGGACTGATTATCTCCCAGAGAGACTCAGTGTGCAGATAACCAATGAAAAAGAACTCACAGCCAGACAGTCAGGTGGAGTTCCTCGGAAGTACAAATGGCTAACAAACTGGAGACTCAAGTCCAGGAAAATAGAGCTGTTGATCTACTTCCAAAACACCAGATACTGAAAACATTTCGAGCAAAGTTCTACTCTGGCACACGTGAGGTCTCCATGAGTTGCAGTTGCCTTGAAAGGAACTGGTTCTGATAGACATTTAGGTCTTTAATTTTAATGTCCTATACCTTGTTTGTTTTCATTTAATGATATATAGCTATATCTTGGAGATGCTTCTGTATCAACATATAAAAATAATCTCATCCTTCTCAACAGCTACAAAACATCCCATTGAATGAATTGACATTTATTTATCCAAATCCATTTAGATATTTGGTTGCTTGTATTATTTGGCTACATTAAAAACAATGATTAATAGAAAAATATTGATTTGCATATGTGCAAGTACATATATATATATGGAGTTCTAGATGTGAAATTTGGGTCCATTTTTTTTCTATGTATATTTTCAAAGAACTATTTTATTACAGGCCAACATGTTTTTTGTTTTTTCCAATTCATGACTTAAATTTCATTAAACTCTTAAAAACTCTCTCAGAAATTCTGAAACTGAAATTTAATAAACATTAAGCACCTATCATGGACAAAGATAACTCTGTGCCAGGAACTGCGGCAATTCAGAGATTAAAAGGAAAAAAAAAAAAAAAAAGCTTTACATCTTACTTGCTAAATGGGAGCACAGTGGCTCCATAGAATAAGCATTGGACTGTGACCATAAAGTCAGCGGGTTGAGCCCACCAGCTGCTCTGTAGGAGAAAAACATGAGGCTTCTGCTCCCACAAAGATTAAAAATAACACCTCAGAAACCCTATAGATGAATCAGAACTAACTCGACAGTACGTAACAACAATTGCACACTTAATAACTGACTATAGTGTAGGACTTTTGGTGTGTTGCTATGGATCAGTACTGGACAGAAAACCATAAGGTCAGCAGTTCAAACCCACCAGCTGCTCCTTGGAAACCCTATACAGGGTTGCTATGAATCGGAACTAACTCTACAGCACTTAACAAACAAAAATAGTATAAATAACATTTATAAGCATTGTTGTTGTTAAGTGCCGCTGTGTAGTTCCGAGGAGTAGCTGCTGAGCTTGAACTGATGACCTTTCAGTTCAAATGGCTTTGCAGTCTGGTGCTTTAACCCACAGTGCCACACCAGGACTCCTTATATGCATTAGGAAACCAAAATATTAGTGTAACTCACTTTTTTTCAATATTCACTCGAATGTGGTGGTCTAGAACCAAACCTACAATGTCACCAAGGTAGGCCTAAAGTAGGTCTTCAAGGTATGTAAAATGAAATGAGTGGATGAGTAAATGAATTTGAGAACTTTATTGTATTTTAACAAATATTTAGGAAGTGTGGTTCATAGTTTCATTGTTTGAAATATCTACTGTCTCATTTGGCAGCTCTTTTTAGCAAAAAATTAATTCAGTTTGTCTAATATCTGTTCTCTGATTCTTGACTTGGTTCTTCTTGAAGACTGCTGATTATAAAGTAAAAGGTTAGAATGTTACCTATGACAGTAGTTACTCTGCCACATCATTTAACATACTAGGAGTCAAGAGTTTATTTTTCAGAATGCATTCATGCCTCTAGTCTTCCATATTTAAAAAAAAAAAAAAAAAAAATCCTGCAGTAGATATACTCTGCCTTTAACAGGAATTGCATATGTTATATTATTCATAGATTCATCCAAAATAAATTTGGTGTTCCTATACTCCGTTTGGGGTCCTATTGTAGCACTATAGGATAAGCACTAGACTGCTAACTATAAGGTTGATGGCTAAAGCCACTGTTCCTCAGAAACCCTATGCAGGGTCACTATCAGTCTGAACTGACTGACTCAATGGCACTTAACAACACACAGTGTTTGCTATGGTTTTAGATTGCAGTGGATGCAGATTTCGCATTAAACAGCAAATATTGCTTTAATTTATGGAATATAATCAAACGATGTATTGCATTAGGCAAATTTGCTAGAAAACGACCTCCCCAGTATAGAGATGCTAAAGCAAATGGAAGAAATGAGGAGGTGAAAGAGCTGAACAGAAAATTTCAAAGTGCAGCTTGAGAAGAAAAATCACATATTATATTGAATTGTGCAAATATCTGGAGTTAGGAAACTAAAAGGGAAGAACATGTTCAGCATTTCTCGGGAAAATCCAAGCCTAGACATGAAATACTGAAGGGTTCTTTGGGCAAAATACTGAATGATGCAGAAAGAATCAAAGGAAGATGGAAGGAATACACAGAGTCTCTATACCAAAAATAAATGGTCAATATTCAACCATTTCAACAGGTAGCATAAGATCAAGAGCTAATGGTACTAAAGGAAGAAGTTCAAGGTGCATTGAAGGCATTAGCAAAGAACAAGTTGGAACTGATGGAAAACAAGTGGAAATATTTCAGCAAACTGATGCAGCATGGGAGGCAATGACTCATCTATGCAAAGAAATTTGGAAGACTACTACCTGTCCAGCTAATTGGAAGAGATCCATGTTTGTGCCCATTTCAAAGAGAGGTGATCCAAAGGAATGCAGAACTCTTCAGGCAATATCATTAGTATTGCATGCAAGTAGAAATTCAAAAATGACTGCAGCGTCCATTGGCAAGGAATTGCCAGAGATTCAAGCCAGATTCAGAAAAAGATCTGGAATAAGGAATATAACATTGTTGATGTCAGATGGATCTTGGAAGATAGTAGAGAATACCAGAAAGATGATTATCTGTGCTTTATTGACTATACAAAGGCTTTCAACTGTGTGTATCATGACAAGCTTTGGACAACATTGCAGAGAATAAGTATTCGGGAACACTTACTTGTGCTCATGAGGAACCTGTACATAGACCAAGTTTTTTGAACTGAACAAGGGAACACTGGATCGTTCAAAATCAAGAAAGGTGTGTGCCAAGGTTGTATTCCTTCACTATGTTTATTCAATCTGTATGCTGAGAAAATAATTCAAGAAGCTGGATTAAATGAAGAACATGGCATCGGGATTGGAGGAAGATGCATTAATAACCTGTGTTGTTCAGATAATATAACCTTGCTTGCTGAAAGACAAAAGGACTTAAAATACTTATTGATGAAGACCAAAGATCACAGCCTTTGGCATGGGTTGCACTTCAATGTAAAGGAAAAAAAAATGCTCACCATTGGATCAATAATAACATCATGATAAGTAGAGAAAAGATTGAAGTTGTCAAAGACTTCATTTTGCTTAGATCCACCATCAACACTCATGTAAGCAGCAGTCAATAAATCAAACAACATATGGCATTAGACAAATCTACAGCACAAGACCCCTTTAAAATGTTCAAGAACAAAGATATCAGTTTGAAGACTAAAGTAAGTGTACCTGACCCAACCCACGGTATTTTCAATAGCCTCTGATTTATTGGATAATAAATAAGGAAGTCCACAAAAGAATTGATGCATTTGTATTATGGTGTTGGAGAATATTAAAGTTACTATATACTGCCAAAAGAACAAACTAATCTGTGTTGGAGGAAGTACATCCAGAATGC